AGCCACAGGAGTAAATGTTAGAGAAAGAAGTATGGGATAACCCGATTATCAATTTACTGAAACTTTTTTTTAATCAAATTACCTTTGTAGGGTAAATTTAGACTTAAAAATGTAACTGATATGATTATTGAACAATGATAGAGTAGTGCGTAGCAACTTGATTAGAGATAGTTATTTTAAGTGATTGATCGACAAAWAAGGTCAATAAGGTCGAGTAAATATGAGAAAAAATAATTTGGAGGAGATGAATGATATAGAACAAAGGATTTGTTTATTTTTATTTTTTTATTTTGCAAAGGAACAAATGATTTATTATCCTAGCTCATGCTCACAATATTCAAAAGCATAAACTTCAGCCTGACTATTAAGACTATAGACTTATGTGGCCAAAAAGCAGACCTTGGATGTTAATTACATTTTCAAAAATACTTTTACTTTAAAGGAAAATTTTCAAAATCAGTTTTGAAATATAAAACTTAATTAATTAGAATATTCTATTCTAATTAGTTACGACTTGTCAAAATGAATATTTCACGTTTATTCTTTTTCTTGAGGGTGGAGGTTGGACTAATTATAATATTATTCATATCAACAATAAAAGCTAATATTTTGGGGGAAAAAACGGAAAGCTAGATATTGTTATAAAATGAATAYATATGGTTTCAATTATTTTCCCAAACATAAAAATATGACAAACTTAATTAATTATTGCCACACACTATACTTTATAAAAAACATACATTAAGTCAACTTTATGTTACAAGTTCTGTCAAAATATATTCTTTGAGATTCAAAGGATGCCAAGAAATTTACTTTTAATGTACTAAAAAAAAGAAAGAAGAAATTTACTTTTAAAATCTCAATAATACGATTTGTGGATAAAATATTTTTGGGAAAAGAAATACTTAATGAACGTTAACAATGGCCAAAATCGAAATACAAAGGAAATAAAGTGAATAACGAGGAAGATGGCACTGACTTGAAGATATAAAATAATATAATAATAAAATTTCCGCTATCCTAACTCACAACCTCAAGCAACATCCTAAATTTTATTGTAAAMGATTCCACACACCGATCCACTATTCTTAAATATTAAAATACAATATATTATCAATTTTATTTATTGGAAATCCCTGTTTCACTCTTTTTAATGAAGATGGAAAATAAAATATATAAGCGCAATAAAAGATGAAATTTTTTACTGTGTATGTTTGTAACGCCTCCGTGACCCACGCCGGTCCGACTCGGACAGACTCACCAAATATCCAACTTCGAAACCGCGTCGTTTTAACTGCTGACTTTCTTTTACCACTTTTGGTTTGGAGTTGAAACGAACACACACGAGAAATTTCGTGGTTGAATTGAAATAGGACCCCAACCCCAACATATTTGTTTATTTATTTATAAATTTATTCTACTCTAAATAAATCCCCATTGCCCTCTTTCTTCGGACGCAAATCCTCTGCAGCTCAAAGTCAAACCTTCCTCCGCCCACCTCCGATCACCCATGGATTTCTTCCGCCACGCCAAGACCGTCCGCCTTCGCAGCCACCACGACAAGTACCTCGTCGCCGACGACGACGAGGAGTCCGTCGCCCAAGACCGTAACGGATCCTCCAAAAATGCTCGCTGGTCCGTCGAGTTTGCATCCGCCGCCGCCTCCGACTCAATCATCCGTCTCAAGAGCTGCTACGGCAAGTACCTCACGGCCAGCAATCAGCCCTTTTTGCTCGGAATGACCGGCCGGAAAGTCCTCCAGACCCTTCTCCGGCGGCTCGATTCCTCCGTCGAGTGGGAACCCATCAGAGAAGGGACCCAGGTCAAGTTCAAGACCCGATATGGCAACTTCTTGAGAGCCAACGGGGGTCTGCCACCGTGGCGAAATTCGGTCACCCACGACATTCCCAGTAGAACCGCCACGCAGGATTGGATCCTCTGGGATATCGACGTTATTGAGATTCAAGTCCAATCTTCAACTCATAAAATTCCCACGATTGAGCACATGGATTCTCTGGATTTTAATCCCAGCTCACCTCCTTCGGCGTCTGCCRAATCGGCAAATTACTCTAGACTAGAGGTTCCAGATCTCTATAAAACTTCTTTCAAGGCTAATTTGCTTCAGTTTTACTTCAAATTCTGATCACCATTTTCTGTGGGTTTGCTATGCTTGCAGTCCACTGATTCAACGGTCAGATCACCTCCCAAATCTGAAGGAAGGACCATATACTACCATGTGGCGGATGAAAGTGGAGACGTATATGAAGAGACGGTGGAGGGTTCTTGCTTTACATTCAAAGGAAATGGGGTGGAGGAACTGACTCATAAATTGGAGGAAGAAACAGGGATTGAAGGCATCATCGTGTGTACTCGCAGTCCATTGAATGGAAATCTTTATCCCCTTCGCCTGCAACTTCCTCCCAATAATGCAACCATGCATGTGGTTGCAGTTCCCGAGTCATCTAAAGGTGAGATCTTCAAACCCTTTTGCTGCTGCTTTTGAATTGGCATTGCTTGTTTTCACCTTTTTCAGTAACATCTTGGCATCTCTTTATTGTTCAGCCGGAAAGGAATTTTCAAAGCAACGTTTGTTATGACATCTATGGGGCTGACTGCTATTTACTGATATGCATTGGGAACAAGAGATTGTGGCTGTTACACGCACCAGACAAGTCTCACATTGGTTCAGACACTCAGATTCTGATTCTTATTTGGCATTACAACACAGGAAGGTTCAAGCCATCCATAGAAGATTATATAAGTCGATTTTGCTTCTGTAGTGTTCAAATTTTTTTTTTTGTTTCTTTTTTGCATCTTCTAACTACTTGTTAATTAGGGGTTCCCAGAAGATGTGAATATTTCCCCCTTTCTTAAAGTTTCCTTGTGATAGATGTAGTTTTCCATACCAGTCATTGCAGCCGAATTTAGGAAGCCTTTTGTATTATTTAAATGAAAAAACTTAAGTTCTATGCAGCCTCGCCTTTGTGATATACTGACAAGGCCCATACACCTTCAGGGGGCYGTGTGATTATGAATTTTGGAAAGGTTTCAACTTCAGGAATTTCGTTAATTCACGTTTAATTGGCATTACAATGATTTTCCAACAGTTCCCATCTACATTTCTGTACTATTGAATTATAACTTTAATGGCTGGTGTACAATAAATCACCAGAAGTCCATGCAGGAACACAAGCCATTCTTAACATGATGAAATCTATTGCGATCTCTCATGATAATCTCTACATTGAAAATTCGAGAAATTGACTTGGTTACCTGGTGGCAGTCATTGCACACTCGGAGATTCTTAAATATGCGTATCGGCATACCGGGTTTCATATTTAGTAGCCCAAAGGCAATGGCAAGTCGCTCACTATGCAGCCTAAGAGATTGCTGTTTCACGTTATCTGGTTCGTCTACCATGGTTGCCTGTGAATAGTCAGGTGAATAACCATCCTTCTCTAGTTTTTCTTCAATCAGATCGATAACATCATAAATCTCCTTGATCTTGGGGTGAGATGCATCTCCTGCAAAAAACTCATGGCTAATACCATCTACTTCTATCAAACTGCAGCCAGGCTCCTTTGCCACACCCTGATCGGCCATCGCTTTCCTTACGAGCCCAGCATCGTTCCACTGACAAGCAGAAGCATAAACTTTGGACAACAGCACATAAACACCACTAGAAGCTGCTTTTTCAGATTCAAGAATCTGCAATGCCACTTCTTCGCTCAGCTCGACACCAGCATTCTGCTTGCAACAAGCATCAAGAAGACTCCTCCAGATCACTGCATCTGGTTTTATATGCATATTTGCCACCAACTCCAAAGCTTCATCAATGAAACCAGAGCGAGATAAAAGGTCAACAAGGCATCCATAATGCTCCAACCGCGGTTCAATCTTGTATTCATTAACCATCATATCAAAATATTTCCGGCCTTCAGCAACCATGCCTCTGTGGTTACACGCACTAAGAACGCCGACGAACGTGACAGAGTTGGGCAGAAACTGCTTCATCTTGACCAACCGAGAGAAACACCGCAATGCAGACTCCGCCCGTCCGTGCATGGCAAGTCCTAGAATCATTGAATTCCATGAATTCAGGTCATGTTTGGGCATTGTCTCAAATACTTCCTGAGCCATTCTCAAAGAACCACATTTGCTGTACATATCCACAAGTGAGGAGTTGATCAGGACATCAGCAGACATAGCCCCCCCGGCCTTCCTCAAAACATAAGCATGAGCCCACATCCCCAGAGATAAAGCCCCAATACCGGCACAAGCGCTTATAACACTCTGCATTGTATATCCATCGGGCTCAAAAACGTCCTGCATTTCAACAAATAGCTTGAGAGCATTTTCGAAGAGTCCACATTGAACAAATGCATCAATCGTCACATTCCACGAAACCAAACTTCTCTTAGGCATTTTCTCGAACAGCTTCAGTGCAAAATTCAAACACCCGCAAGAAGCATATAAATGAATCAAGCTATTGCCAACATAAACATCCGAGTCCAACCCAAGTTTTACAATATGAGCATGCGCTTGTTTCCCTTCAGATAAAGCAAATACATAAGCGCAAGCTTTAAGAAGAAAAGGAAAAGTATGTTTATCTGGTTCAACAGAGCCTTCTTCTAACATTCTGTAGAAGAGCAGAATCGCCTGTTCTTTACGGTCGAAGCTCCGTGCACAAGCACCGATGAGAGTGTTCCACATGAACGAATTGGGGTTATCGATTCGATCGAAAACTCGACAGGCATAATCGAAATCAATTAAAGATGAAACGTGGAGAATTCGGCTAAAGAGGAAGAGAGATGATTCGTGGGTCGAGAAGCTACGAAGTGCGCGAGCGTGGATTTTCTTGAGCTGTGACAAATCAGTACAGTGGCTCAGCAATTGAAGAAGCCGACTTTGGTGGGTACGGAAAGTGTCGTGCTTGAATTCTACTGCAATAGACTGTGCAATTGGTGGGATAGCCAGAAGCATTGTCCACCGACAAGCATGAGAATTTGAAATAGTTTGTGGATTCTCGATAAGGTAAATGGGGCTGAAGTTTATGAAGGGGCAGAGGAGCTATGGAAGCGCTACAAAAGAAGTGTACGACTAATTCAAAACCAACTTGAATTTGGGTTTGAAGTCTGCCAAGAGACTAATCCTGGCGGTTGGTACCAATTCATAATTATCAAATTTGAACGGCGAATCTACTGATGAAGAGTGTTTTTTTAAGGTTATTTTATTACCCTTAAAATTACTTTTATTATTGTCAAAATTATTTTCGTTTAAAATAATGATATGTACGGCGAAATCATTTTAAAATGATTTTTGAAGTATCAATGGATTGGTACATAATTTTTATTAGGAGGATAAGAATCATATCTTAAAATTAGTCATTATTTTCAAGAGACTTCAATTATATTTTATCCTACATGTTGAATAACACATGCCAACCAACTCAGGCTCCACCAACGTAGGTTGACAAGTACGAGCCCGACGACTATCTATGGCATACCACCCTGAGCCGACCAGCACGAGCCTGACGACCATGGGACAATCATCTGGGGCACTGGCCCARGTTGATCAATATAGGCACGTGCATGACCATCTCAAGCGGACAAGTACATGTCAAAAAACTTGGGCTGACTAGCCCGAGCCCAACGAATCCAAGTTGATAAGCACAAGCCCAACGACTATCTCGAGCATACCACCCCATGCCTAATGACCCCAAGACAATCATCTCGAGCACGATTTAGGCCGACCAACCTCAAATCAATGACAAAAGTGATTTTCACTATGACAAAATGGTTCTCAAACGTGTCCTATAAAGTATCTGATATGTCTCTCAAACTTTAAAAATATCTAATAAGTCTCTTAACTTAGTTTTTTTTTTTAATTATAAATTAACTGATCTAGTACAAATATCATAACTTTTTATGSATCTTTTTCAACCAACTCCTTACTTGTTTTCTTTTTTTTTTTAAGTACAATAAATGTAGGGAGTGGTTTGAACCTCGAACCTCAGAGAAGAAGTAAGATACCTTAACTATGAAGCTATGTTCATGTTGGCGTTTTTCCTATCTTCTATTTTCTCTTTTTTTTCCCTAAAAAAAATCTTCTTTCTTTTTTAAATGCATGCCCACTTAAAAGTTATTCCACCACATTCATTTTCATGGAGCCTTTTGAAATAAAATAGAAAATGATAAAGAAAGAAGAATCTCTATTTTAAGTTAAATCATAAATTTGGTTGGATTTGACTTTGCATACCATTGGTAGACATGCAAARATAATTAGACGGGTTGCCAACATGAGCTTAATTTTTAGAAGTAATTGACATACATCTATGACAAAAAAATTTTGAATTTGAATCTCTCGTTTTTGTATTAGAAAAAAAAAGAATAATTAGACACGTCCAAAGAGATGAATTTTTATTTGGTAGCACTTTATGTGGTTTTTCAGATTTTCTTCACACCTGTGCAAAGGAAACCTCATTTTGAACTTTGAAGAAAAAAACATACAATACGACACTGATGTTGGAAAATCACACTTTTGCTTTCAAGCAAAGTGAATAACAATCAATCGTGTCATACATGGAAACACCATTTCCCAAGTAATGGTAAGGAAATCCAACAAAATTTTCTTATTTTGCAAGGGGAAAAAAAAAACTTAGTCCTGTTCTTATTGTGCAAGGGGAAAAAAAAAACTTAGTCCTTCTTGGAGGTGGGAGGAGAGGTGGGAGGAGAAAAAGTTGAGAAAAAGATGGCTTTTCTCGAATGAAATGCAAATTGGATTCACGTGCGACAGAGGGACTAGTTCCTATGGAGATGGGAGGGGGCAGCGATTCCAGATAAATATATTTATTTATTTTTATTTTTATTTTTATGGGAGTTAAAAAAAAGGCTAATTAGAAATTGGGTGGGGCTTTTTAAAAAAAAAATAAAAAATATTTATTAAAATTAACCTATAATAATATTATTATATAAAAATTAATAAAATATTAAATGGGACGAAGTCAGAAATGAGACGGAACAGAGACAGGAGAGGTCTCAAAACCCCATCCCCGATCAAACCGGGGATTCTACAACCTGATTGGGTCGGATACCCTCAAGTTTTTTTACCATCCCTAATCATACTTAGATCTGGCCAAGTGAAAATCTATATTGTATCCACCCCTATTAAATTTTTTATAACTAAGATAGAAATTTTAAAAAACAAAAAAAAACAAGAATTTTTAAAATGTGGTTTCCTCACGACTAAGTATTTTTTCTAAATAAGGCTTGAAAACGAACACAATCTCATACTCAAGTTTTTCTAATTCCCACTCACCTAACCTAACACCAAATATTACCTATATATTTTCAAATAACATAAAATAAATCTTCTCTGTCTGTAATATTAAAGCTAAAGAAATTATGAAGATTAATGAAGTTATTTCTTACAAGCTAACCCTTCTTCTTCTTTAATGTTTTTTTTTCGCTTCATTATTTTATAATGATTTTAAAATATATGTGAAATACTATACCTATTCCAATACATCAATTTTGTATATACGAATTTGACCTTTTTAAAATATATATATATATCATATACACTTCTACATATCCACCTTTAGAAGATGATTCCATTTGCCTTTTTTTTCCATTAATCTTTTGGCCTTTTCCATATCAGATCATGTTGGATAATTATAAAGATTACAATTTTAAATTCTTATCACTAATATACTTTTAGGTAGATTTTATTGTATAAGGCTTTGAATGAAGATATAAAAGTCAAAAAGGAAAAAAAAAAGATATTTCTCTTCATATGCTAGAACTTAGAACACAAGTTTATAAAGATTTTTTTTTTTTGGTAGTCAATTAAAAATGCGCCACACGATAASATCATATTTGGTATACAAAGAATTCCTAATAAAGTTATGAACTTTACCACTTGAATCATGTCCTATGATATATTTGAATGCTTTTTTAACTTGAACTTTTTAAAAATGTCAATTTTTTGAAATATATCCTAAGTAGAACTTTTTCTTAGTTCAATTTAATTTACATTATGATATTTTTGAAAGTTGAATTTTATTTAAATACATGTAATTTAAAATATAAAATTGTGTTCACAAAAGGTTGATTTAGCATTTATTTATAAAAAGGAAAGAAGGGGCCAGCGGGTTGACTGCCCAAAAATGACATGTTCTTTGGCTGATTCTGCAGCGGTTCCCATGGCTGCGACTGCCGACTAATATTCCAATTTCCAAATCAAATGAATAATTTATTTTATAATTATATATGCAAAAGTACAAAACAGTCCCTCTCTCTCTCTCTTTCCTACGCCAACCCCGTTTCCCTACTTGACTGCACGTTCACTATTTCTGGTAATGCCTATTGCCTTGCCTTGTGAATGTGATACACTCACATGCCCGTCACTTTAATCAAAACTTTTCTTTCAAAGGAAAAAAAAAATCTATCCTTTCACAATAAATCATACCGACAAACTCATTTTAATATCTTATTTGATTTTTAGGAGAACCATTTGCTCTATTTTATGATATTATGAGTATTTAAATGTGAAAAATATTTATATTTGAACTCCTTGCGTTGATATCATAATTTGTTTTACTCTTATGTATATATATAAGTAGAACCAACTAATAATTGATGATTTAATTTTATTAATTGGAAAAACCWACCTATCAAATAATAGAAGGGGTGTATAAAGAAAATAAYAATCAAGGGATARTATTAAAAAGAAAAAACCAATAATTGCATTAAAACATTTTGTTGCCCGACAATTCAAAGGAGAGGTGGTGAGGGATGAGGCTCACGTGGATRAGGGAAAATCGTCGTCGTCCATTCACGTTGGGCATTCACGCAAGATTCTGTAACCGAGCTGTTACGATAACAGGCATTAGCATTTGACTATAAATAAATCAATAAAAAAGCGGGATTAGAGCAATCAGCCACTCAATTTTCTGATCGTGTAACGGCCGACTCGCCGGAATCCTCTGCTTCCCCGATTCTCCCACGTTCTCTTCAATTTACTCCCAAAATTAAAGTCAATTTGCAGAAATTTTGGACTTCTTGAGAAGAAATTTCTTCAGCCTCTAGAAACTAGCATCCACATTTCGGTGGCTTTGAGAGATCGAGGAGTTGCAGAGAAGCAGGTGTGTGATGGGGGTGGACTACTACAATGTGTTGAAGGTGAACAGAAATGCGAATGAGGAGGACCTGAAGAGGTCCTACAAGAGGCTGGCTATGAAATGGCATCCTGACAAGAACCCTATTAACAAGAAAGAGGCGGAGGCCAAGTTCAAGCAGATCTCTGAGGCCTATGATGTCTTGAGCGACGCTAAGAAGCGTCGGATCTACGATCTCTACGGCGAGGAGGCTCTGAAATCCGCTGAATTTTTTCCTCCGCCCAATTCCAATCCCTCGTTTTCCTATGTCCCTCGCGATGCCGATGAYATTTTTGCCGAGTTTTTCGGCGGAGCTGGGACTGGGAGTGCTAAGAGCCGAGGGCTGAGGGGAGAGAGTTTGTTTAGGAACGGGAAGGCGGAGGCTGGGAGGCAAACCAATAGGAAAGCACCGCCAATTGAGAGCAAGTTGGCGTGTAGCTTGGAGGAGCTTTACAAAGGTTCCAGGAGGAAGATGAGGATTTCTCGCACTGTTCCTGATGAATTTGGGTATGTCAAACTCCTGCTACTGCTTTTCTAGCTCTTCATTTTTTTATTTTTTCTGTTTAATTGAAACAAAAATGCTTATAACTCTAATTTGTTACAATTACATCTGGTCTGATATTTTCTACGAACTTTACTGGGTTCCTAATAATACTCTTTGATGCTCTAAAACTTTATGATTGGAACTGTTAGGGATAATATGACATGGAATGTATTATTCCTTTTTCCTGGCTGAGCTGCCTAGGATTATCAGGATACTGATACCTCTTTAAATGGCAAACAATTCCCTCTGAACTACTTTTACCACATGGATGCAAAGCCGACAGGATGAACAAATATGAACCAGTGGTGTGTATTTGCTACTCTGCATAGCATAGCCTTTCAAACTCTTGTTCTCCTGACTTGTAAAGCGTACTTGCTTAGCTAATTGGATGGTTGAGCATATTTTTTTACGGAAAGACAGGTGGGGATGATGGCCAATATGAATATTATAATTTTATGATCAGGAAAAAACTTTGGTGCTTTCTACTTTTCTCAATCACCACAAGACAGAATCACGACTTTTTCTTGAAAACTCAGCTAACTGGAGCATCTATAGTGATATTTTCTGTAGATTAGCAGTAATGAACATGCTTTTGTTGCTGAAAATAGGAGAACATTATTAAACTGAATTAAATGAACATAAGCTTGTTCTTTCTTTCTGGCATCATTGCAATCAAGCTTACACTAGATATCGGTGAGTGATGATTCATCTAAYGCACAGGGTTCGTAGTTCACCCTATTGCATTCGTCTATTTGTGTCCTACCATCTTCAATGTCCTTGCATATTTCTGGCCTGATTTTTCGTCTTTTCTTTCTCCTCGATTTAGGCTTAACATTAAAGCAACTTGTTTTGTAGGAAGCCAAAAACTGTTGATGAGGTGTTAAAAATAGATATTAAACCTGGTTGGAAGAAGGGTACAAAAATTACTTTCCCTGAGAAAGGCAATCAAGAACCTGGGGTTGCTCCTGCTGATCTTATATTTGTCATCGACGAGAAACCGAATCCAGTTTTTGAGAGGGATGGGAATGATTTGGTAGTCAATCAGAAAATATCTCTATTAGAGGCACTCACCGGGAAGACCTTGAACATAACAACTTTGGATGGAAGAAATCTCTCTACTGAAACTGATATTGTCAAACCGGGTTACGAGGTAGTGATCCAGGGTGAAGGAATGCCCATCTCTAAAGAACCAAATAAGAAGGGAAACCTTAGAATCAAGTTTGATATCATTTTCCCATCAAAGCTTACTCTTGAACAGAAATCTGATCTGAGAAGGGCTTTGGGCGGTGGTTCTGATTGAGAGTAAGGCTCAGGAGCGGGCATCATGACGAGCCTTCTRAACAGGGGATTGATAATGCAAGCTCAAACACGTGTAAATACTTGTCTTACTCCGGAAAGGAACATTGTGCATATTAGGATTTTGGAGAACTGCTCGATTCCTTGCAATATGATTTAGGAGGGAAGTCTAGCATTCTTCATCCACTGCCCTTGGTAGCCAAAGTTAACTTTGACTTGATAATAATGATGTTGCATCCATGTGATCATACACATTTTTACTTGAAGTCAATGTAAGATTATTTGTATTTTATTAGCTGGGAATTTGGTGAGTACTGTGCATCCACTGGTGTTGAATAATTTATGTTATGCAATGTCCTTTTTCTTATATTTTTTTGCAAGTTTCTAGCATCTATACCATTACCATCATCATTTTTTTTTTACCATTTCACAGAATTGTTAGGTTACCTCTGGAAACCTCCAATATAAGTGCTATCAATCAAACCATCAGAAACATGTCAGAATTTCTTGAGTTCACTGTGTTTGGSTTAGCTACCATGTGTGTACTTATGTGAGAGAGGAAGAGAGAAATTTACTTCATATTTTGTTCTTGAAGCACATAATATTGGAAAAGTATAAGAAAGAGCTAGAATATTTTTTGAACACAAGTCAAACGGGCTGGACCAATAATATAAACACCACTTTGTTTGTTCTAGATAACTAGATTCCTGGTTCTTTATTTCTGTTTATTCCTGTCTTGTAGAGAAGCTTCATGAGCAATCTCATCAATATTTACTATGTTTCTCGATCTTCTTTTGCAGGTCCTCCTTCCTGGCTCCAACCACCTTGTCTATCACCTTTCCATTCTTAATCAGTATGAATGTTGGCATTGCCTCCACACCATATTCCCTTGCAACATCCTGTTGTCATCCATTTTTTCAACACACTCATGTTCCAACACATCCACTGAACAAAACAGAAACAAGACAAGACTGAAAGCTCATACCGTCAACTCATCGACGTCGATTTTAACGAACTCGACATCCACGAACCTTGCAGCAAACTCCTTGATGGTCGGCTCCATGTGTCGACAAGGTCCACACCATGTAGCAGTGAAATCAATCACCAACTGTACCAAACCAGCAGCACAACAGATCAGAGAGTAAAATCAGCTGCTTGTATTCGGGAGCATACATTATTATATGTCGGGATTGGAAGTTCATATGAAACTTACAAGCTTGTTTGTCTCCTTTGAGGCTTCGAAACGAGCTGTCCACTGAGGTTTGGTGTGGCACTCGACAATGGTGGGAGCCTTTGCCTGTAATGTTGCATTGGAAGATTTTGAACGTGGGACCGTAAAGCTTGCTCCCATTTGCCTGTATTGAGCCTCTTCACACACACAAATGTTTTCTTGAATGCACAGATTTTGGGGCATGGCTGGTGAGCCTTTTATACACGAGAATACAGTAAAAGGGTAAAAAATTTACACCAAATTCTATGGAATTGATTCGTCTGCTCAGCCGAGATTTTATTATTCTAATTTGTACTTCGTCAACACACAAAATCACCAACACCGTTCTTTAAGCTCTAAAGTGAAGTTAATTTTTTTAAAAATGTGAGTAATACCTTTTTAATTACTAATGTCCGCTCATTTGGTTTTGTCAAACGCAGTAAAACCAGGCATAAAATTACTTTAAACTTTTATATTACAGCAAATTCTATTTAAATGATATAAATGAATTTTTTTTTCTTTTATATGAAGTGGAGAATAAATGATAAATCTTTAAATAATGGAATAGGGTCAAGCGGTTAGTCTGTGATTAGTSAAGGTGTACATAAACTGACCTGGATACCCAGATATAAAAAAATGATAAATCTTTTATAGGATATTATTTAATTGGTTAAATCATAATATAAAACTATGATGTCAAATCACTGTAGAAATAGTGTTGACATGAGAATAAAATCTTTCAACTTGAAGAAAACACAATCTGTATATTTTAGCACTGTACAGTTAAATCCATGCATAAAGATAAAGCTAACTACAAGAAATTTAGCTGGCTAAAAAATTGAGAATGAGATTTTTTTTTTTTTTATATCCGTGTRTCCGGACCAGTTTGTGCGTACCTCGACTATTCACAGACCAACCGTCTGACCCTAACTCGTAGGATATTAAATCCTAGGTAGGTGGCCGCTACAGAGAATGAGATGTTATTTTTTTCTTTTTAATAAGATTGAGATTCAAACTTACGATCCTATAAGAAAAATTGATTAGGTTGTATGTCTTTATACTTGTTTCATTTTGATTGTTACATATTGAAATTTATGTTTCCTTCTATTCATTAAGTGAGATGTTACGTTTGAAGTAGGTTCAGAATTATCATCTTCGGTTTAAACTTATGATCATTTACAAGTGGTAGAAATGTCAAATAATTTTTTCTTTCTCTAAATTTTTATAACTTATTTGTATGTTCATYGTTAAATTTTTATATGTAATAGAAATTTCTCCTGCAATTAAAATAAATTGTCTAGAGGGTGGAGGTTCAAATCATCAGTCATTTCATTCAAAAGAAAACTCACGTGTATGGTTATAAATAAAAACTAAAATATTTTTCAACGCAAACTTATTTTTTAGTACCATACAAAAATGACGAGGTGAGAATTCAAATTTTCAACGAGGAATTGAAAGGTATATATTCTAATGTTGAAAATTTTTAACCGGGCCAAAGATGCCATATTTTGAGATAGGATTTCGATTTGTTTAGCATTTGTGGGCGCACCCTTTTTCCTTTAGCATTTCGGTGTGACACTAAACTGTTCACTCCAATTCTTCCAACAAATTAAAGCCATCAAACTTGTTATGAGAAACCAAGTTGTGTGTGTAAAATACTGATAATGGAAGGTGGAGCTTTAAATTATTGGGGATGGTATGAGAATTAGAGACGATGGAAACCTAACCTAACAAATTGTGGAAACCGAATCAAATTTGCAACTGGGATAGACACCATCCAATTGAATTTTCAACTTCAAAATGGTTTTCGACTGAAACCCAGGTTGATGTTGATTTCTGCGAAGTGACGTTCACCGACGAGATCTCTATTCTAGCGAGTTGATGTGGAGCGAGCTATAAAGGGAAGACTTGCAAAAACAAGCAAACCTCTCCAAAGTTCAATTAATCTGAGTTCGAGCTAAGTAGCTCAGSTTCAGATAGATTTTTCATCACGGTTTGGTGGAATGATAGTGTATTTGTACATCCCATTAACTATTGTTCTCAAGGTCGGTCACCGACTCTTCACTATGGATTGTACGCAATGGTGTCAGAGCTTTTTTCTAGTGAGCCCGGCTTTGATCCACGGTGAAATGAGCTAGTGGTCATACCGATCTCTCAGTTCGGCATAGATTTTGACCAAAGAACTCGCCCGAGGTGTTGGTGGCTCTTCCCCAACACCATGAAATCATTCAAAATTCAACTAATAAGCTTAAATTGAGATATAAAAATGTCTAAAAGGATATGTTCTAACAAAATATCCAAACATTACTAAAAAATACCTAACATAATTTAACGAGTTATTACTAGAAACAAAAGTCTCACGTTGGTGTATATATAATGAGCGTGTTTTTATTACGCCCCAAAACTTTTAAGTTCTTGAGCTAGGGTGAATATTATATACCAATATTTATGCTGTCAAATAATCTACTATTTTTATATACATGAAGACATCGGAAGTTATATTTTTCTTAATGGTTGAAGTTCACTCTTATGATGAAGTGATTCATGTGTTTTCTCTCTTTTTTCTTTTCACAATTTACTTAATACATGAAATTTTCAATTAAACCATTCATTGAATAGGTTAAACTTTATCAATAGATATATTCATGTATTATTAAATCATTATTGTCAATGTATTTGGACATAAGACTATGTWACTTTAAAGAAATGATATATTTTTTTTTAGTTAATTGGATTTTGCTGAGGGGCAAATTGGATTTCATACCTCAAGTAACATAAGTGCTATTTTTACATGTCCAAAAATATTAATAAAATAATAATTTCAATTAATAATAAATCAACATTTTGTCATCAAATTTTAACAATTTTTTTCATAGAGGACCTAACTGACACTTTTTTTTTATGCAAATTAAAATTTAAAAAGATTAAGGGCCAAAAAAGAATCACCTAAAAGATTAGAACTATTTAGTATATTGAACCTTCAATTTTAACACGAGGCCTGTGATATTGGCATAATTTTCTTGTACATTTTATAATAAAACAGATGCTAAATGTTGTTTGCATTTTATTCTTTCAGATGTTTTTAGGAATCTTTCCAGATAGAACTGAAACAACACCAAACATATTGTTCGGCACATGAATTTCAAAAGAACTAGAGATTGAAAGTTTGATTCCAGTTCTAGAATTCAAAAGTTAATAACATTAGTAGTAAAAAACGATAAAAATCTGTCATTCTGAAGGAGTGCCTTGCTTTAGTAAAAAAAAAGAACATTACCCTAGAAAACTAACTTAGCAGATAAGAGGGAATGCAATTCGATTGAAATTGCCATCCATGCCAATACCAACTTATTATATTCTGGCTTCACTATCAATTACGGTGTAAATAAAGAAATTCGACGTTGGTCGATTGAAGCTCACTTTCAATCAATCGGTATTAGAAAAACTAACATGTCATCTATGAACCAACGGTTGGTGAAGCCAAATGGTCGATTGTTCACTCAATGGTGAGTTATCTGGATAGAGAATTTCAGACCAATTACCAAATTTCTCAAATATCAGAGAAAACTATTTCAGTGACGTCATCCAGAGATTCTAAAATCATATGTGATTAATGACTAAGAAATAAGAATACTTATAATAAAMTGAAACAAGATAACCATATCATTACCTTAACATACGTCTAAACATGAGAAGCAATTTATGTCCACAAAATAACTTAGGATCAAATGGTTTGGCGATGTGTCTTTTTATACAGGCTCCCAYTGGATCCTTCAAGACTAGGACTACAAAAAACAAGATGTTGGATGGTGAATTCGACAAGGACTAATGTCCAGTGAGGGAGAGAATAATGAAAAGCAACAAACATTAGGATCACCCACCAGTTTCTGAGAAACGCCCCAAGGACATCAATATTGTTATGAAGCCACGCCAATACTTGCAGAGTTAGGAGCACCTTGTGCTGAACCATGACTGTTGTAAGAGTGGCCACCACCCCTTCCACCTCTTCCTCTACCATTGTAGTAGTTCCTCTGATAGTAGTTTCCTGGCTGGTCATAGTATCGAGGGCGTCCATTCTGGTAGGAACCTCCTCCCCTTCCATCACCTCGTCCTCCACGACCATTTGAATATCCTCTTCGCCCACCAACACCACGGCCACCTCTTTGGTTTGTGTAGGTCCTTCGAGGAACATACTGCTGTTCTTTTGCATCTCCGTCCAGGTGTTTCTGTTCCAATTCTGATTCTGTTCTCACTTCTTGCTGTGTGACAAATTCAGAAGGATTTCCCGTCTCTGGCATATCCTGCAAAGTAAAGGTCTCCATGTTCGAATAAAAACATATCCAGAAAGTATGATAAAATAAGGGGTCCGCTGGTGAGAATGAAATACTGAAAAGAGAACAACAAAATTGGGGCATACCCTAGGCAGCTCGTCAACAGAACCAGGTTGACCATCACTGATATCATCTCCTTGCAAGTCTCCCACATCAACGTCCTACAAATTAAAGAGTTATACAAGATTATTACTAATAATTTCAAGCAATTGATCACCCTTAGGTTTAGGTGGTTTAGTCAATTGCTCATTTTTCTATGAAGCTGCCACCTTAACCAGTAAAATAAGAGATTGCTCCATCGCTTGAGCAATTTTAGTATTCAGGTCAGGAAAGAATGAAGATCCTGAGAGGAGAAACATTGTGATAATTTGCTTTCCGAAGGCCATCAGCAAAATAAAAATATAMTTTACACGTAGTAAAGCTTCAAAGAAACATAAATKTTTGTGTCCACAAAAGCATTGAATGGTCTTTGACATCTTTGAAAAGAAACGTAAACCAAAAAGCCCTTATCCTTCGGTACCCACATTTCCTACATTTCTCCTAAAATGCAGAACATGTAATTTTCCACATTCAAACTAGGGCTAAGGAAATAACTCAAATCATGAAAAATAAAAAGCTAATATTTTATTAACTTCACTCGTTTACCCTTTTCCAGAAAAATGTTTACAAATTAACRTTGAAGGAGCCACCCTACATACATCTCTATTACCACAAGGGTAATGAAATACCAATACATCAATGCACAATTTCCTCAGAAAAAGTTTTAATATCAATTACAAACATGGATGGACACTCAACACAAATGCAACAAGCTAACACAATTGTTCCATGTTGACAAACACAGAACAAAGGTTAAAAGAAATAGACGAAGAAGAAAGAGAGAAGTCYATTTGTGTGCACAGTCACATGTATAAATATTTAGACGTCCAATGTGTAGTMAAGAAAAAAAAAWTYMWTTWWTTKRAAAAAAAATTACAATAAAACTCTGTACTCCCCTATATCTGACGCTTACAAATATGCACGTCAATTGAAATTAATTGCACATAAGAATAATTACAAAAAGCCTTAGATAGGAAACACCTTKAAGAGGCACTGAGACTTGGTTCATCACATCCATCTACCATTTTTCTTTATTATTGAAGATCCAGTTATTCCTCTAATACCATAGACTCCAAGCTAAAACCTCTGACTGAATTCAGACATAGAATWTCATCTTTTCCTTTAAACTTATGGCCACTGAATAATTGTATAATGTTCACTACTGACAGGCCAAACCCCCATGAAATTTGAAATCGTGAATATTCAATGTGTGTCCACATTCATATGTTCAGTTTGGCAAAAATGGATGATCAAAACACAATGCTACAATATGCATTTTTAAATGATGCAAAATGTTATAAACTTAACCTTGTTATACAAAGATCAAATAGCATTTTTAAATGATGCAAAATGTTATAAACTTAACCTTGTTATACAAAGATCAAATACGTCTTATTCCATTTCAAAGGAAATGTGTGGATAGAAATGCATACTCGATATGGTGTGATAGGTTCAGCCAAGTGCAAGAGGCAGAAATCTATAGTCTGCCACCCCTCACTCTCCAAACTGAGGTTCATAACTCCTCCATTAGTCTTTCCTTTTAATCCAGCCAACAACTGGCTTCCACTCGTACTAAGCTAAAAATTTTACCCATTCGCAGTATAGCTAACTATAGAACAAGCTCACTGGTGTCAGCCAAGTAAGACCTGACACTGACTTTCTAATTCTTCCTTGCATACGCAACACCATTCCAAGGAAAGAGCATAAAGGAGTCATTCTCGGATCTTTTTGTGGAGCTGTGGYTAACCAAATCTGTGAAGAGAGAGCATACTAGTAAAGCTGCCATGGGGATCCAAAAGCCAAGTTCAATGATCGATACTGGTTATTTGACTGGAAATTTATCAAAAGCAAATTTAATTTGATTGTAAAAATAAAAGAGCTCGGGAAAGACCTCAAATAATGGTGCATTGCCCAACCATAAATCTTCCTAAAAGTAAGTAGATCTCTTTCTCACCGTTGATGTGGATAAATGAGATCTCTGTGCYTGAGAAGACATTTACAAGGGCTTTTTGATGAGCTAAATGAGAAGTGCCAAATTTAACCTCAATGCCATTCTCCATAAAGCTTTCTCCTCTATGTAACATCTCCAAAATCATTTATCAAGAAGAAAGCACTTTCTACGTTTTAAGTTAACAACACCCCCTGGGGTGGTTTCTATATAATATCTCCAAAKTCACACAAAAAGGGTTGGCARATGCAGGTGCTTTCTCCAAAGTCTTCAATAGGTCACCATTAATAAGACAATAGCTATTAGTTTTGGGGGAAGGAATAGGCAAGGGTTAGGTTGACTGCTGGTCTTTGACCTTTTTGTCAAAGGAAGCTTTTTCTTCTTCTTCAAGCTTGTAACTTGTAAAGCATTGGCCACCTTTAAGGAAGAGGTACCATGAATATCAGCTAATCTGCCTAAATGGTACGAAGATTGAAATAAGAATCAATCTAGACAATGCTGGAAGAGTGCAAGGAGGAAGAAATGGTGGCCTTACTAGGATGAAGCCTGTATAATTTTCTTTGAACTTTAGATATGTACCCATCATGTCAAGTTTCAAGGAGATCGTTTAACACATTCCAAGAAGCTACCACAATAGTTACCAATGTATCTAAAGGTTTCCAAGCTCCAAAAGCAATATGAAGGTTTCTCATTCCAATCAAACTCACATAGGAAAGRACCATCCTCCTTTTTTAAAAGCATTGTCATTCCACAATTCGATCAACAATTTTAAAGAGAGTTTGGTGAAAGGAATTAAGCTAATAAAAGATAATGCACAATTGATGGAACAAAATATATAAAACCATTACTTGACATTCATTTTAAAGAGATCATGTAMCAGATGGAATACATCAAATGGTATGAGAATCCAGTAATACCGTTTGTTGAAACTTTGCCTCTGAATCTTCTTCATGGACGGCCACCGGAACCTGAAAATTGGCATAGTTTCCTGCAGCAACAGCAGCTACTTCAACGGGACCTTTAATCTCAGGCGTAGTAGTGAAGTAATCCGACGCCATGATTTTGTGCAGCCTCTCTCTCAAGTTCGCATCTACAAAATTGTATTCCAAGTCAACAGAATACCAAAAGACAAAGAACGAAATAACCGAACAAAACTAGCTATAAAGAAATAGAGAAGAGATTAGGCAAAAAAAAAAAGCAATACATACAAGTGACATCCGTGTTGGGCTCAATAGGCTGGTCCGCCTTCGTGAGCCAGAGTTTGGCGTGCTCGATGCATCGCTCCAACGCATTCTTATGCGGCAAATTCGAATCCACGGGGCGAGAGATCAATAGCCCACTCATGGTCGATATCAAATCCAAATCCCTCTCGGCAAGAAGATCGGTAGCATCGTC